GGGTACAAATTAGCCAGTGGAACACACAAAAATTCTGATACACTTAGAAGCCTGATAAATACTGACTAGAGGGACCGGCGCTGTGGCTCACTTGGTTAATCCTCCACCTGTGGTGCTGGCATCCCATGTGGGCGCCAGGTTCTAGTCCCAGTTGCTCCTCTTCCAGTCCAGCTCTCTGCTGTGGCCTGGGAAGGCAGTGGAGGATGCTTGTGCTTCTGCCCAGGTGCCTGTGCTCCTGCACCCGCATGGGAGACCAGGAGAAACCACCTGGCTCCTGGCTTCAGGTCGGCATAGCTCCAACCGTGGCGGCCATTTGGGGGTGAACCAATGGAAGGAAGACCTTTCTCTCTGTCTCTCTCTCTCTCTCTCACTATCTGTATCTCTACCTGTCAAATAAATAAAAAATTTAAAAAAAAAAAATACTGACTGGAAGAGAAAATGCAAAATCCCAGGTGGCAGATTTTGGGAAGCAGGAGGAAGAGGACAGGATGGGTGCAGGAGATGGAGACTGCAGAGGCACCTAACTGGGTAGATACAAGAATGTTTCATCACAATACACACCCCTGTACGTTTGCGTATACAATACCACCATAGAGGAAAAAAGCAAAATGCTGTTATGTGACATTCAAACACAGGCTACACTGAATAAAGGCAGAAATGAAAACAAATCAGAGTAGCTGCCTGGGGATGGGAGAGAAGCAGATTGGGACATAATGTGAAAGAACTTTCTTGGAGATGGCAACAGTCTAATATGGAACATGGTGGTAATGAATGTGGCTTTCATGGGTGTATCTATTTGTTCAGACTGTATAATTTAACATTTGTGCATTTAGATTATCTGTAAATTTTTTGTTAAAAAATAAGTAAAGTAGAGGCAAATGATGACAGCTGCTGAAGTTGCATGACAGGGTACTACATGGTTTATTCAGTACATATTTCTTTTCTTTTTTTTTTTTTTAAGATTTATTTTCTTTATTTGAAAGACAGAGTAACAGAGAGAGGAGAGGCAGAGAGAGAGAGGTCTTCCATCCGCTGGTTCACTCCCCAATTGGCTGCAATGGCGGGAGCTGCACCGATCAGAAGCCAGGAGCCAGGAGCTTCCTCTGGGTCTCCCACACAGGATGGCATTAGCTAGGGTACAAATTCCCAGGCCATAGCAGAGAGCTGGATTGGAAGAGGAGCAGCCAGGACTTGAACTGGTGCCCATATGGGATGCCAGTGCTTCAGGCCAGGGCTTTAACCCACTGCACCACAATGCCAGCCCCCAATACATGTTTCATATTTTCTAAAATACAACCTTTCTTTTTAAGAGGAAGAAAAGGAATTAGATAAGGCAACATTTTGTTTATTTTTTTTTTTAAGATAGATTTATTTATTTGGAAGTCAGAGTTACAGAGAGGGGGGAGAGATAGACAGAGACAGAGAGAAAGAGAAAGGATCTTTCACCTGCTGGTTCACTGCCCAGATGGCTACAACAGCTAGGGATGAGCCAGGCTGAAGCCAGGAGCCAGAAGCTTCTGTCGAGTCTCCTATGTAGTTGCCAGGGGCCCAACCAAGTGCTTGGGCAATCTTCTATTGCTTTTCCCAGGCCATTAGCTGGAAGCTGGATCAGAAGTGGAGCAGCTGGGACACGAACCAGCAGGATAAGGTAACATTTTAGAAAGAGTTTGGCCCAGTGGTTAAGGGATCGCTTGGAACACCTGCATTGCCTATGGAGTGCCTGGGCTGGAATCCCAGTTCCATGTCCATTCCAGCTTCCTGTTAATGCACACCCAGGAGGCAGCAGTGATGGCTCAAGTAATAGGGTTTCTGACATCCTGTGAGAGATCTGGGTGAAATTCCAGGCCCTGGCTTTGGCTGGGCCCAGCCCAGGCTGTTTAGGGACACTGCTGAAACAGTCTGTCTCTGACTCTCTCACTGTCTGTGTGCCTTTCAAACAAACAAATGAAAGGTATTAAAAGTTTGTAGGGCAGGAGCTGTGGCATAGCAGGTAAAGTCTCTGCCTGCAGTGCTGGTATCCCATATGGGCGTCAGTTCAAGTCCCGGTTGCTCCACTTCTGATCCAGCTCTCTGCTATGGCCTGGGAAAGCAGTATAAGATGGCCCAAGTCCTTGGGTTCCTGCACCCACATTGGACACCTGGAAAAAGCTCCGGCTCCTGGCTTCAGATCAGTGCAGCTCCAGCTGTTGCAGCCAGTTGGGGAGTGAACCATCAGATGGAAGACCTCTCCTCTGTGCCTCTCCTCTCTCTGTGTAACTCTGACTTTCAAATAAATAAATAAATCTTAAAAAAAAAAAAACGTATTTATTTGCAGACAGAAACATAGAGCTTCCATCCTCTAGTTCACTCCCCAACTGCTCCAATGGCTGGGCCAGGACTGGGTCGGGCAGAAGCAGGAACTCAATGCAGGTCTTTACCACGGATGGCAGGGATCCAACTACTTGAGCAATCACCTGCTGCCTCCCACGGTTTGCATTAACAGGAAGGCAGAATGCAAAGCACAGCCAGGACTGGAACCCAGGCACTTTGATACCGAATGTCAGTGTCCCAAGTAGTAGCTTAATGACTGTGCCAAATACCCACCCCTCTTTACTGGGGTGTTAACTAACAGGCCAAATGGCCTTTCTTATTTTATCCCATCCTGAACATTTCCCCACCCCATTTTGGAGTCTAGTCTTCCATATAAGTAATTTCAACTCCTTCAGCAATTTCTGTTGGTACTAACTTCCTTAATTTTTTTCTAAACCTCCATATTTTAATTATCATATTTATACTGCACATTTAGGTCTTCCCACTTTATACTGACTTGCTACCAGAGGATTTCACTCTCCAAAGGTTTGTCCTCTTCTCATGAATCATTGGCTCACTGCTTCATCTTCCCCTTTATCCTTTACCTACCCCAGACTAAGTACATTTTTCACCCTCTGATATGCCAAGTACCCCCATTCATTTCAATTAAACTCAAAAAACATATGTCCATGAGACTCCTCAATTACATTCTGACATAAAATCTTAATAAAACCAAAATCAGAAGTGATACACAAGAAAACAATCAATTTTCAACTATTCCAGGATTACATCCTGACTGCAAAGCTAATTTCTCTAAGGATGGATTCTTTGCTAATACTAATGGAATTGAATTAGTAAATGTGCATTAAGGGGCCAGCACTGTGGCATAGTGGGTAAAACTGCTGCCTGCAGTGCCGGCATCCTATACGGGCACTGGTTCACAACCTGGCTGCTCCACTTCCAATCCAGCTCTCTGCTATGGCCTGGGAAAGCAGCAGAAGATGGCCTAAGTCCTAGGCCCCTGCACCCGCATGGGTGACACAAAGAAGCTCCTGGCTCCTGGCTTTGGATAGGCGCAGTTCTGGCTGTTGCAGCCATCTGGGGAGTGAACCAGTGGATGGGAAGACCTCTCTCTCTCTCTCTGCCCCTCTGTAACTCTGCCTTTCAAATAAATAAATAAATATTTTCTTAAAAAAAATGTGCATTTAGTAGTATTATATATAAAGCACCACTCTTCTAATTTGGGCTTATCTCCTCATATAGACTTAGGAAATAAAACTTTAACTCCACTTTATATATAGTACCATCTGTTGAGCCATATTACCATGCTTAGCATGATAAAAGGAACCCCTTACCCTTATCATAAAATCCAATAATATCCCCAATTCCCCTATTCAATTCTAAAATCCAAAAAGCTCAGAAAGTCAAGATTTTTTCCCTTAAATTTGACACCAAAAATTTAGTGACTTCAAGTTATAGAAGACTATTAGGTCTTTGTATCATTTTATGTCACTAGATCACTGGTTCTTACTGATCTTTAATTTTTAAATGTATTATTAATTTAGGGGCCAGCACTGTGGCATAGCAAGTTAAGCTACTGCTTGCAATGCCAGCTGCTTTACTTCAGATCCAGCTCCCTGCTAATGTACCTGGGAAAGCAGCAGAAGATAGAGAGAGAAAGAGGGCAGGGTAGGAAGGAGAGACTGGAACTTAATCTATGTCTCCTGCGGTGGTAGAGAACCAAGGACTTGAGCCACCAACTGTTGTCTCTCGATGCCTGCATTAGCAGGCAGCTGGCCTGGAAGTGGAGGAGCCAGGATTTGAACACGGGCACTCTGATAAGGGATGCAGGTGCCCCAAGTAGTGTCTTAACTCCTATGCTCAACACCTACTCCTGCCTCAGATATTTCTGATGCTACTGTAGAATACATGACGAGAAGATAGTATCAGCATTCAAAGGTCAAAAAAGAATCTTAATTACAAAACACAGTTGGCCTCACAGATTTGCAATAGGGGATTTGGTACCTTCATGATATTATAGCAGCAAGTCTCCTTCAAATATCACTGCCCTGATCAAGACATGGTTTGTCCTCCACTGGTTCATGTGCTGGACCCATGGTCCCCAATGTAATGATATTGAAAGGCGGTGGGTTTTTAAGAAGTGGGGCCTACTGCGACATGACAGGGTCGTGACCACCCTCCAGAGGGATCAGTGTTGATCTCCGGGAGTGGATTATGGTTATGATAAAACCAAAGCGTCAGCCCCTTCCTCAGCCTTTGGCTTCTTGCTTACATAAGTGGCCCTTGACACAGCTGGCTGTGCTTCTCTGCCATGCTGTGATGCAGCCAGGTGCTCACAGCAGATGCTAAGCGAGGTTGTTTGGACCTTCCAGCAACTGCAATTGTGAACCCAACAATGCACTTTTCTTTACCAAGTACCTAGCCTCAAATATTTGTTGTAGCAACACGGAACAGACTAAGACAATCACAAATCTCATCTCAATTATCAGGAAGCTACAAAAAAGTAGGATGACCACGAACTTTACAGCTCTATAGTTTTCTATCAGTTTAAAATAAACCAGTCTTTTCAATAATGCCTGTGTATCAACTGCTTTCTTGGATCTATTACTGTGGTCACCAAAAAAGACATCCACATGGGTAGTACTCAGTCTGTCAATACTGAGACTCCTGAAATCACAAGAGCTAGTTACCTTTTTCTGTGCCTGAGAATATGGAGATGATTTTATTCCTTGGCTTTTTTTCTTCTGGAACAGAGGGCAAAGGCTTCAAGCTGTGATTGGCTGACAAGGGGTCTTTGCCTCCAGTGCTAAAGATGGTGCTGCTCATTCGCACAGGAGGTGCTGGAGGCTTGTCTTCCAGTTCTCCGTTATCAGACATGATTCAGAGTTATGAAATGACCTGGAGAGAAGGAAAAACAAAAAAACAGTAACACAATTAATAAGGTGAAAACTGGATGGACAAGCACAAACAAAAAGACCTACCTCCTGGGGCCGGCACTGCCTGTGACACCAGCATCCCATATGAGCGTTGGTTCATGCCCAGGCTGCTCTACTTCCGATCCAGCTCACTGCTAACAGCCTGGGAAAAGCAGTGGAAGATGGCAGACGTGCTAGGTCCCTGACACCCACATGGGAGACCCCGATGAAACTCCTGGCTCCTGGCTTTGGCCTGGCCCAGTCCCGGCTGTTGTGGCCATTTGCGAAGTAAACCAGCACATGGAAGATCAATATCTCTCTCTCTCCCCATCTCTCCTTCTAACTCTTTCAAATAAAAATAGATGTTTAGGGGCAGGCAAGGTGGCACGGCAGGTTAAAGCCTGGCCTGCAGTGCTGACATCCCATATGGGCGCCAGTCCAAGTCCTAGCTGCTGCAATTCCGGCCATTACGGCCATTTGGGGAGTGACCTCTCCCTCTGTGTCCTTCTATAACTCTTTCAAATAAATAAAATAAATCTTAAAAAAAAAGATCTTTAAAAAAATAATATCTGCCGGTGCCGTGGCTCAATAGGCTAATCCTCCGCCTGCGGCGCCAGCACACCGGGTTCTAGTCCTAGTCGGGGCGCCGGATTCTGTCCCGGTTGGCCCTCTTCCAGTCCAGCTCTCTGCTGTGGCCAGGGAGTGCAGTGGAGGATGGCCTAAGTCCTTGGGCCCTGCACCCCATGGGAGACCAGGAGAAGCACCTGGCTCCTGGCTTCGGATCAGCGCGGTGCGCCAGTCGCGGCGGCCATTGAAGGGTGAACCAACGGCAAAGGAAGACCTTTCTCTCTCTCTCTCACTGTCCACTGTCAATAAATAAATAAATAAATAAGAAATAAAAAAATTATACCCGGGGCCGGCACTGTGGCGCACTAGGTTAATCCTCTGCCTGCAGCGCCGGCATCCCATATGGGCGCTGGGTTCTAGTCCCAGTTGCTCCTCTTCCAGTCTAGCTCTCTGCTGTGGCCCAGGAAGGCAGTGGAGGATGGCCCAAGTGCTTGGGCCCAGCACCCACATGGGAGACCAGGAAGAAGCACCTGGCTCCTGGCTTTGGATCGGCAAAGCTCTGGCCATAGCGGTCATTGGGGAGTGAACCAACGGAAGGAAGACCTTTCTCTCTGTCTCTCTCTCTCATTGTCTGTAACTCTACCTGTCAAATAAATAAATAAAAATCTTTAAAATAAAAAATAATAAAATAATAATAATATCCACCCTTGTCACAACTCCAAATCAGAAAATATTCTCAATTTAGAGCAAGCTTTTTTCTGCCGAGGGCCACCTGGATATCTGTAATACCATCCACAGGCCACATACAACTGTAAACTTAAACACTAGCCTGTTACAGATGTACTGAATTTCAAGTTCTGCCTGTGGTTGCCTTGGCAGGGACAGCCCAGTGATTTCACAGGCCTTATACAGCCAACAGGCTGGATGTTCCTGACCCCTGATTTTGAGACATTTGCAAAATTCGGGGGGAAAAAAAAATTAGTGAGTTGAAAGAAAAAAACTGGTTCTCAACAAAGGTAATCTCTCCCAACAAAGTTAGTAAATCGTTAAATAAATTTTGGAGAAACCAAGTGAAAAGCATAATTATGCTAACATATCAAAAGTTATTCATCTAATCAATGGATTCTGAGATTGTTCCAATAGAAAGATACACAATATACAACCTTCTTTTTTAAAAAATATTTATTTGAAAGGAGGAGAGGGAGAGAGAGAGAGACAGAAGAGAAGAGGAGGGATTTTCCATCCTCTGGTTCATTCCCCAAATGGCCTCAACGGCCAGGGTTGGTCCAGGCCAAAGCCAGGAGCCCAGAGCTCCATCTGGGTCTCCCATCCAAGCATTTGTGCCATCTTCTGCTGCTTTCCCAGGTGCAATAGCAGGGAGCTGGATTGGAAGCAGAGCAGCTGGAACTCTAACCAGGGCTCCAGGACATTGGCAATATGGGCAAAAGCTTAATTCACTGTGCCACAATGTGGCCACCACCAGTCTTTAACCAATACCAATACCAATCTGTTTCCATAAACATCAGTGTTAGGATTGTACATAAACTTTCTGAAAGGATTCCTAAATGAATGCACCACTGACGCACTGATATTTGGTCTCTCGAAAACCTGACATTCTAATCTACATATAGCCTCCTGCGCTCAGCCTGCTCAATCCTGAACATGGCTGAGAGCCACAGTGCAGCCAAATCCCAAGGCTGTTTCCCTGTAATGCTCTGTCCATGCGGCCAGATAACCCATTCACCAACATGGTTGATTCAGTGGAAACTTCATCCTTGTTTAGATATATTGATAGGCAGGTATTTTATATCTTTTTGAAAAGTACTCACATTTAAAATCAGCTGTAAAGGGGGACAGAATGCCTAATTTACAGGAATTAAAATACCAAGTACAGTGCTCTTTCAAAGAGTTCATGGAAAATGTACACTAGGAAAAAGCTAAGCACGAATTTCAGGTTTTTTTCATAAAACAAACTTATCTTTTAATTCTATCTTTTTAATCAACTTAATGAAATACCCTCATGTTAGGAAACAGCATATTTACCTCACTAAACAAGGTTTTGACTGGTAACTGGATTTTGATTTAATAATATTAATGCATTTAAGTGAACAAGACATATAAACAATGAAAAGAATGCTAACTGCATTTTAGAGAATATTAAAAATAAATTTTTATTTTATTCAGTTTGAATACTAGTACCTGAAGAAAAGTAGGTATAATTCTAGAAGAACTGAATTGATGAATGAAGAGATTACCTAATTCCACTCTAAGTCCTGTGGTTCTTGTTTGCTTGCTGATGCACTACCTTGGTATATTTTATCTGTCAAAATGCAAAATACCGGGGCCAGTGCTGTGGCTCACTTCTTAATCCTCCACCCGCGGCGCTGGCATCCCCTGTGGGTTCCCGGGTTGTAGTCCCGGTTGCTCCTCTTCCAGTCCAGCTCTCTGCTGTGGCCCAGGAAGGCAGTGGAGGATGGCCCAAGTGTTTGGGCTCCTACACCAGCATGGGAGACCAGGAAGAAGCACCTGGCTCCTGGCTTCGGATCAGCACAGCGCTGGCCATAGCGGCCATTTGGGGAGTGAACCAACGGAAAGAAGACCTTTCTCTCTCTCACACACAGTCTATAACTCTACCTGTCAAAAAAAAAAAAATACAAAATACTTTTCAGCCTACAGAAGAAGAAAAAGGAGAGAAGGTTAAAAAAAAAAAAAAAAGGAAAAATACACATTTCTAGGGCTAACTGCCTGGAAACGGCCAAAAATGGTAACAAGATCTCTCTCTCTGATGAGAAAGACTTGCTGGTCTGCTGGTCAGGGAAGAAAGGGGGGTGGGATCCAAGCTGGGGCATGTGACTTGCCCTCAGGCCGTTCTTCCAAACCAGCTGTTCACACCACGTGTGTTTGGGTTTTTTTTTTTTGTGGGGGTAGGGGCAACTGGCTGTTTGTAAATGGGGGCTACTACCAGAGTGTGCACTACCAAAGGGAATCTACCTTGCTACAGACTGAATAAAAAGGTTTGGCAACAATACTGCAAGGATTACCTCATGAATTGGTAAATTAAGACAGATGTTTAGGTCTTACTGTGACCATAACACTAAGACATAGAGATTAATACCAGAGCAGTGGTTAATCACAGAACAGTCAGGGCACAATAATTACTTCGTGTAATTAAGTATAAGTTAAATTCTATCCTAAAAGCTCACATATATGGAAAATGACTAGAAACTGTCAGTGTACTTTCAAGTTGTTTTTAAAGATTTATTTATTTACCTGAAAGTCAGAGTTATGGGAGGGCAGTAGTCAGGAGAAAGATTGATCTATCCACTGGTTCACTCCCTAGAGGCTACAACTGCCAAAGCTGGTCCAATCTGAAGCCAGGAACCAGGAGTTTCTTCCATGTCTCCCACATGGGTGCAAGGGCCCAAGCACCTGGGCCATCTTCCACTGCTTTCCCCAGGCCATCAGCAGGGAGCTGGATAGCAAGAGGAGCAGCCAGGACTTGAACCAGTGCCCATTAGGGGATGCTGGCCCAGAGGTGGAGGCTTAACCTACTACGCCACAGCATGGGCGCCACTGCTCCCCCCTTTAAAGAGAAGACCATGGAAGAGTGTATGGACATGTTTTCAAACCATCAACCCTCACTCCTGTCCTGGGACAGGGAAAATACAAGGTAAGTCTATAGCATCATTAATAGTATCAGAAGGTATGCAAGTACCCTAAAGGATGACAGCAAATCAAAGGGACAAGGCAAAGAGTAAAAATATGTCATTCTATATTGACCTAATACATGAATAAACAAACAAGTATGCATTTGGAAGGGGCAAATCTTTCTTATTGAAGAATCCTAAATTCATATATGTAGATACATTTCCCTCTAAGAACTTAAGATTAATCCACCTTTGCCTCGAGTGCAGGCTAAACTTAGTGACTCATTTTCAAGGAACAGATTATGGAAAAGGAAAAACAATTTTGCAGTGAACATAATCTTGGGGGCCGGCGTCGTGGCGCAGTAGGTTAATCTGCCTGCAGTGCTGGCATCCCTTATGGGCACCAGTTCTAGTCCCGGCTGCCCCTCTTCCGATCCAGCTCTCTGCTATGACCTGGGATAGCAGTAGAAGATGGTCCAGTGCTTGGGCCCCTGCACCCGCATAGGAGACAGGAGGAAGCGCCTGGCTCCTGGCTTCGGATTGGCACAGCACACCAGCCGTAGTGGTCATTTGGGAAGTGTACCAACAGAAGGAAGACCTTTCTCTCTGTCTCTCCCTCTCACTGTCTATAACTCTACCTCTCAAATAAATAAATAAAATCTTAAAAAAAAAGGAAAGAATCTGTCCACAGCACCAGTGTAAGTCATGTTAATATCATAGCCCCTAATCTACTGTGATACGAGCACACTTCTCTGCCACCGTACTCTTC